AGCAAAGCAAAGCAAAGCAAAGCAAAGCAAAGCAAAGCAAAGCAAAGATTTTGGCTTCCAGTCAGCCAGACAAAAGGATTTGATAATTGCCAAGGTCAAATCCACCGACATGGTTAAAACTAGGTACCAGTGGATGCAGCCACAGAACAAGGCTTCCACCCACCAAAGAGTGTTGGGTTGTCAGATGGCTTTGCCTGACCTCCTGAGTCCAAGCTCAATGCTTTAGATCTGGCCTTCAGTTTCCAGCTGAGTCTGGGAGTCCTGTAGAAGAAACTACCTGACTTACCTCTCTCTTTCAGGAGGATGGCAGTTAAGGAAATGCCAGAGAAGAAAGAAGAGAGTTATGTGTGAAATAATGTGGAATTGGGTATGGCAACACATCCCAGTAAGTCCTGACCTTGGGATGTAGAGTCAGGAGAAAAACAGGAGTTCAAAGTCATTCTTAGCTGCGTACTGAGTTTGTGGTTAGCCTGGACTACATGAGACCCTGTCTTAAAAAAATAATAAAACCAAATGATAAAGTACGAAGAAGAACAGAGTTCTGAATACTGCTCAGCACTGGAGAAGTTTCTGGATGAGACACACTTGGTGTAAGGAAGTATCATCTCAGGACCCCAAGACTGAGTTCTCCACACAAAGGAGATTTATTTGCCCCAGAGGGACAGAAGGCAAGGAATAATAAATACGGGAGACAGAGGAAGAGGGGGACGGGGTAGGATTTTCCCAAAGTGGGACAAAAGACTGCCTTTAGATAGACCGTGCCCGTAGATGTGGCCCATATTAAAATGGAGGTTTTATAATGTAAGTGGGAAACCCCACGTTCGGATGAAATATTTAATTTTAATTGGATGTGTTAATTAGGTGAGCCAAAGGGGGCTTTTGATCTCTGGACTTCAATAGTTTGATAGTTGGACCTTGGCAGTCTGCCTCTGGAGGAGGAAGTGGCCGAATAAAGGAATATGGTCACCTTGGTGACCAGCTTTAAGAATCTAATGGTCTTTAGCAAGGCAGAGGGAATAAGGGTGAAGGGCAAGGTCTGTCAGAGTCATGCAGGCCACCGTCAAGCTGGCCAGAGTTCCTTCACTTGGGTAGGATCAGAAGGTTCACAGGGGAGGGAGAGGTGGGATGGGAAGTCGAAGCCCCTTCTGCTTCGAGCAAGTAACCTGCCCTCTGCTCTGTAACTTAGGCTTACTTGCCCTCCTTTTGGCTTCTGTGCATTGGCAAGGCCTTTGGTTTAGGCTGTTTCCTCTGGTAGCCAACATCTCAGTCTAAGAAAATTTGCGTGGGCATCTTTAAAACCTCAAGGGGAGGCTTTCTGACTCATCATCATGCCTCGCTCCCACAGCTAGCTCTCGGGAAGGAAACTCCTCGGTGGAGTCACTGCTGCCTGCCTTCTGGTTCTGAACCACTTTCCTTCCTGTGAGTGGGATGTAGCAGAAGTGGGTTTTCTCAGTCTTTATCATCTCCTTTCATATCCCCCCTCCCTTTTCCAGCAAGCTCTATTTGGAGTTAAAATGGAAGGATAGCAGGTCTTATTCAAAACATTTTAAAAACACAGGATCTCTAGACCGAGAGATGACTCCAACGGTAAAGAGTACTTGCTTCTCCAGGGGACTTGAGTTCAGTCCCTAGCACCCACATGGTGGATTGTAGCTGTTTATAATTCCAATTCCAGACTACCTTATGCTCTCTTGTGGCCTCTGTAGGCACCAGGCATACCAGATACACATGCAGGTAAAACATCCATACACATTAAAAAAATCCCCACCTTAAAAGTGAAAACCCCAGGACCTCACTATGTAACCCAGACTGGCTTGCCCCACCCTATGTAGCCCAGTGTGCCTTCACATAAACTCCTGCTTTAGCCTCCCAAGAGCCAGAATTATAGGCTCATGCAGAAAACACTTTGGAGGCAGGCGGTGGTGGTGTATGGCTTTAGTTCTAGCACTCAGGAGGCAAATGGACACAGATTTCTGAGTTAGAAGTCATCCTGGTTTATAAAGGGAGTTCCAGGATGGCCAGAGCTATATACACAGAGAAAACCTGTCTAGAAAAACCAAACCAAACCAAACCAGATCAGACCAGACCAGACTAGACCAGACCAACCAACCAACCAACCAACCCCCATCTAAGCAACAGAACAAAAATCAAACAAAACCAACCAACCAGCCAACCAAACAGCTTCCAACCACTTTTTAATTAAGAGATTAAAGTTTAATAATGTTGAACTTCCAGGTTACAAGTCCAATTGTAGAGTTGAACCTTTGAAGATTATTTTTATGTTTCTGATTCCTACACATAAGTATCTCCTTAGAGTAACTCCTGTAAGGATATAGGACAGGATCTGTCTAGGGTCAATAGGCTTCTCATCTCAAATAGGATGCTCTAGACTGTGATCTGCAGGTTTCTCCACTGAGTAGTGTTCTGTCTTTAATATATGGCTGAGCTCCTCAACACTGGTGACACCCTGGTATTTTGTTACAGGAGCATACTGTCATTTTGTGTTCTGATAGAGTTGCATGGGGGTACAATTCGTGGTTTATAATTTGATATATAGCTCCCCCATTGGACATGGGTTATACCAAATCTGTCCGTCTCGGCTGTCTCCGCAATATCAATGCTGCTGCTCTGCCTGCTCCTCAGTGACCACGAGGCCGGCTGGAGATGATTGGGCATGGAGTTAAGAGGAAAAAAAGAATGTTCAGCATTATAAAATCAGTGTGCATTGACTTGGGGAAGCAAGACAAATATTATCAGAGACTAGAATGTCTTTTACTACATGCTTATTGAAGTTAGAATCTGTCTTTCTTTGCTTTGTTCTTCTCCAACTCATCTGACTCCATCTCCTGGCTCTTTGGCTGTGTTTTCCTCATCTCCAGACTTGAGGATGTTGCAAGACTGTAGGGCTTGGCACTTGGTCCTCGTTACTCTGTCTCAGTCCATGATCAAACTCACCTGTCTTCTGTATTCATGGGTTCAATGACAATTGCAACTCTCCCAACTGCCTGTAGGTTCACACAGATCTTCTACCGGTAGAACAAGTTCACTTGGGGAACTCAGCCCACCCCACTAAACTCCTAATCTTCTCCACCTTGGTTGTCTGTAATTTGTTTTCCCTGAACCTCAGCATACCATTAAAGCAATTGATGAATTCTCTTCCACACCCTACATGCAACTAGTCAGCAAATGTGCAGGCCAAGTCTATCTTGAAACACACCTAGAATTTGGTCCACCCTCTTGATACCTTCACTGTTACATCCTGGTCCAAGGCTCTATCACCTTATGTATGCTCCAGTTACTGTGAGCACTTATGAACTTCTCCTGCTTCTATCCTGTCACCTTAGATTCCACTTCATGCAACAGAGCAACCCATTGGGAGAGTATATTATATCATGCCAGTCTCAAACTCAAAGTCCTGCCACAGTTGCTTATTCGGAGTAAATGCCAGTGTCTGTATAGTTACCTTTTTGACTCTTTGTGATCTCTCCATTCAAATGCTCTGACTTTGTCTAAGTCTTTCTTACTGTTCACTCTGCACTAGCCACACTGGACTATTTGACATTACTTAGGTATTTCAAGCTTGGTCCCTACTAGTTCTCCAAGCCTGCTATCCCTAAATAGGATAGGATTGTTCTTTTTGTTTTGGGGACTTTTTACCTCTTGCCTTTGGTCTGTCTTTGTTTCTACCCCATCAAATCTGGATACTCTTGCTTTTATTTTGACTTTTCAGTCATCTGTTAGAATTTTCAGGTTGTCTGTCTCCATCTGCAGACACACACAAACTGGCTAATGAGTTGGGGATCCCTGGGTTTGGCATTACAGAGATTCATATGTTTTTTGGGTATGGATAATATTTGAAAACGATCTGTTTTAATTTGACTAAAAAGCCCAGGAAAAAGACATGATGTACTTAGAAAAAGCTAAAATGTAAACTATTTTCAATAGAGGCTACTATTGTTTATCTCATAAACAATATATAGGTTTCTATACTTAAGCCAGCTAACAGAATTCGTATATGTGGAAAGGACAAAAGAAATCTCTGTCCAAAGTCTCTCAACAAGGATTCCAAATTCATAGTTTTAGTAGAGCTCCTCCAGTCAAATTTTATTAGGTAATGTGAATATATATATATATTTTAAAAACAGTTCTTGCCTCGAGTTTATTTGTAAAAACAGCATAGGACACTGGTCATCTGCAAATAGTGTAGGTAGGTGAACCACAGCGGTCCATGTGTCTTCACGTTGGCAGGAGCCTTTTCTGTGCGGCCTTCACAGGGGCCTGGGCACCTTTGGGAGCCTGAGCTGGCGCTGAAGCCTGGGCCTTAGCTGGAGCTGTGGCCTCTGCCTTGGTTTGAACCTTGGGCTTTGGTTGGCAGAGTCTACGACCCTTGGCCATGTACCTTTGAATCTGCTTCCCAAGCTTGGGGTGAGCGACGAGAGCCAGACGGCTGAGTTTGCGACTGGGGCCCTTTGGCATCTTGGGCTTGATGGCCTGAGGCTTCACAAGGGCCTTGATGATGGCTTCTGCGCATTGTTGGCCTGCATCTTCTTCAAGCCTTTCTTGTGCTTCTTGGCAAAGAGCATGTTCCTAGGGTCAACCACCTTAAGACATTCGTATCTTTGTGGCTGGGGTTTCTTGACACCATTTCTGAGCCATTTGTGGGACTGGTTGTGTGTAGTGTGGTTCTTGGATTTGCCCATGTCGGCATGGTAATCTACAGCTCCTGCAGTGCCTATGACCAGAAGAGAAAAGTGAACATAAATTTAATGATGATTATGATAAAAAAAATCTACCTCTCCATGCTACATAAGCTAAAGCTGTCTTATGTTTTCTATAAGGTTTACCTGGAAACTTACAAGGCCCGATAGTTTTACAGTATGCACACAGGTAGCACTAATTTGTTGTATCACTCCATATGTGTAATTTGAACTCAACCCTCCCTTATTAAGGCGACGTTGCACACTATGTTTTTAGCTAAACAATTGCCAACGTCAAAACTGAGCTAAACAAATGTGCCTACTTAAAACAATGACTGCTGAACCTGCTAACTGTTCATAGCCTTTCAAGCAAGGAGATGAGTAAGGTCACTGGCCCTTCACCTGAGCATCCAGTCACTCCTGGTATGTGATTAGGCACCAATTATATCAGATGCCAAGGGTTTCTGGTAGCCCTAATTATATGAAACATTAAGGTTTTCTGGGAATACAGGCTAAAAACTAAAAAGGGGAGGAGGGTTACTTATACAAAAAACTGTTGGTATAGGAGCAAAGGCCCCAACTATTGCCTAACATCCCCTTTAGAAAAAATTCTTACAACAAATAATACACTTATCTGTTACTATTATGTCTTATGGTATTATTTTTTTAATCAAGAGAGCTGTTAAAACTGCTAAATATAATTATATAAATATAAATTCTCCCCTAACTTCTTGGTTCTTGTTCTAAAACCTACAACAAAAAGTTAATATATAGGCAATCTTAATTTGCTATAACATGTCATGCATAAATTCTTAAAGTTCTAATGGTCCATTCATGTTAACAAAATCTGATTTACAGATATAGGTCTAATCACTTATGTCTATGTTAATGTTGTAAAGCTTTATCTACTTAGAAAAACTAAATCATACATAAAAGTGTAATATTTTATAAGTGTACACTATAAAAGAATTTTTAAAAATTAGATTTCTAGTCTCTCTATGAACTGTATCTATGGTTTAAAGTTGATTTCGATACTAAGAGAGCTTCAATTTTCTCTCCAACATATTAGTTTTATTGATTATTTGAGAAATTAACATAATGCACCCCAATCACACTCACTTCTCAGTCCTCCCAGACTCAACTCCAACTTGCAACCTTCTCCCCTCTTGGGGGAGACAGCGAGATAGAGAAAGAGAGAATACAAATCCATTTTGTGGTGCCCATATATTCAATGGTGAATGGTCAAACTCCCAGTGGTCAGCCCCTTAAAGAAAATTGAGAACTTACCCTCCCCTACCCCTTCCAGAAGCTATCAACTGTGAAGAGCTACATTTCAGCATCTCAATCATATCTTAAAAAAAGTTCTCTTCAATGACTTGGTGTAGTGGGTGGTTCTATTCTTCAGTTGGTTCTTGATTTGTCAGTAAAGAAAGCCATGGGCCAATTACTGGGTGGAACGGGCGGGCAGAACTTCTGGGTCCCTGGGGGCAGAGAGAGATGCAAGGGAGGAGGAGGAGGAGTTTTTGGCATGCTTTGGAGGGAGAAGAACATGGCAACCATGTGAGATCTCAAAAGGAAGTGGCCACATAGGCTTCTCGTACAGGTAGGTGATCAGGGGAGTTTAGCAACTGAAATTTAGGGCAGGTAAAGAGATGGAGATAAGAAGTTGGTAAGGGTGTGCTTTTCCAGGTGGGAGATAGCAGTCCCCAGCAATTGTGCCAAGAAGGTAATTGGAAAAGGAGCAAACTGTGTGTGTGTCTTTTGTCTAAGGATTCAAGGGAAGCTGGGTGGGGGCTGGTAGCTCAGTCAGCTTTCAGGGTAAAGATGAGTAGAGCTTAAAAGAACATGCTACCATTGTTGTGTAATGTGGAAGGCAAAAATTTGCTATGAATTAGAAATTCTTAGATTGATAGCACAGAGAGAGAGAGAGGGGGGGGGGAAGAGAGAGAGAGAGAGAGAGAGAGAGAGAGAGAGAGAGAGAGAGAGGTCTAGGAAGAGGGGAAAATTGGTTTCTCAGTGAGTAGAGCTGATTGAGCCACTGGTGGCATCAGCATGCAGGAAACTTAAACAAAGGAACATTGGGAGCCTCAGCTGGAATACCCTGCTGTGAAAAGAGACAGAATTTACTGAGGGAATGAAAGAGAGAGGCTGCTAGCCTCCAACAAGCAGATAAAAGATAGAGTTAAATGAAATGTCATTGTTTTTAAGGATAGAAGTGAAATTGAATGAAAAAATGCTTTAGGAAAGATGTGAAAGGGTCTTGCCAGGATATACTCAAATTCTGTGAACATGGGCTCCACAGGAATTCTGAGATCAATATTCCTGGCATGACAGATTAGAAGTCTATGAATAGGCTTATATAGTCAGCAGGGGATAGGGTGCCTAACCTATCTCAGACAGTAGGAATTTAGGTCTTGAGAATTAGAGAGGTTGGAAATAGTCTCATACAGTAAGTAAACTGAGATATTAAATAAGCAGTTGAGGCCCTGATCTCATGGAAGGTCTGGGCAGAGGACAGTAGGAGCACTGTCTCAACAGATAATATTAATTTAGATTGCTTTATTTGCTCTGAATTGTTTTAATTATCAAAATGAGTGTGATTTTGAGTTTGGTTATATTAAAATTCCTCTGGGAGAGAGGTCAAGCTAAAGGTTTAATGATTCTAGTTACGGGACCAAGCACATGCTATTTTGGAAGAAAAACTCTGCATTTGTGTCTACAGGAAAGGAGAATAGGCTCTGGACCTCTTCCGGAGTGATGTGGATCAGATATGACAAGGAGAGACCACATGGAGGGCTAAAAGATTTCAAGAGAAGTAAACAGGACAAGTAGGGAGATTCTTTGTGCCATCCTTCACATGACATGAGTGGAAACTTACTATACTTGGTTATTAATAAAATTAACTCATAAAAAAGATAGCTGTCTTTCACATGCTCAAACAAGAAGCAGAATTTCATCCTTAACTAATTTATACACCCTGCACAATCCATATAGATATCTTAAATGTACTAAAATTTTGGTTGTGAGGTTTATATATTATAGAATGTACAACTCTGGCAAGATCCATCCTCAGAGATGCTGAGTTGACTTTCTAGGACCCCCTGTGTCACGAATTTCAGGTCATCTTGCCTCATTCAACCTTTCAAATGTGTCTAGAATTTCAGTCAATCCCTGAGCCTTCTAGACATGCAGAGACTGGAGAATAGATGCTGAAGTTAGCTTTCTTAAAGTCTAGCCAAATTTTCTAATTTTCCTATCGCTCCCTTCCCATTTAAAGAATTTTCATTGCCCCTGTTCAGCCAGGAGAAGTTATGGAGAGTCATCAGCTCAAATTTTACAAATTTTAGAAAAGTTGTCATTTTAAGGGATAATTTGGGAATGGTCATAATTTTAAACAGGAAGGAAATAGGTGGAATTGATTGTGTAGCCATAATCTTAATTTATTAGAAATCTTTATAAGTGATGCAAAGTTGAAGTTATAATTTTTTATATTGGTACAACATTTATTTTGATATTGATTTAAGGTTTTCATTGGTATGAATTTCTCATGTTGATACAACATTTGGGATTAATATTGTTACCGTTAGATAAGCATTATGCCTATGAAACTTGTTTAAGAATACAAAGCTTCAACCCAGTCCTTCTATAACTGCTATTACAAACTGTTTTTAGATGATTAAGCAATATGAGTTAAGGGCTAGATAGCAATCTCATGCTTATGTTAGATTCTGATTTAATTACAAAAGGGTGTTTTTGATATACTTCAATTAGAAATAGCTAAGTGTAGTCAAGGTTTAACAGTTAGGATTTATATATATATGTGGTCTTTAAAAACATCAGAAATCCATAGAACGTGTCATCTAATGTTATTTAATAATTTGACAACGAGACATATGTGCTTCTGACAGCACCCCCTTCTTGGTTCAAAGAAGAATTGATCATTTCCACCTCCAAGCAAGATTGCTTATTGTGGTAAAGTAGCCACTGGGCAGAAATTGCCTATTTCATCTGCAGACGAAATACTATCCAGGAAAAGGACACATTATGCAGAATAGTCAACTGTTGGCTCTACCAAGACAGGGTAAACAGTCCTTAATAATTCTGCTTTGCAAAGGTCTGTCAGATGATCCTGGGCCAGAAGGCTGAAGATTATGCTGTAATGTGTTGAGGAATTCAGGGTCTGTCCAGGTAGTCAACTGTCTCTACAATTGTTTGAGGAGCTATGTTTGGTGCTTTCTATATACTCAGGTAATGTTTAAGCTGTTCTCAGATTTCTGACAGGGTTGAAAACTAATTTTAGTCTCATATTCAAACTCAAATTATTTAACAGAGAGAGAGAGAGAGAGAGAGAGAGAGAATAGAGTGGATAACAAGGTTTTCAGGTGGCATTACAGGCTAAAATCTAAGCATAATCTAGGGATAGAATCATAACTCTTTCAGTTAGGAATGATGGAGGAGTACTTTATCTAATTGAAAAAAATGGTAGACTGGATGTCATTTGTATATCGTACTGTGTAACTTACATGATTGTTATGATTTTGTTCCATTTATGTCTGGGAGAAGAGTTTTGTTTTTGTTTTTTTGTTTTTTTTTTTTTAATTGGACAGAAAAGGTGAGGTGTAGGGAGCAGTTCTGATGTTAAGGTTCTGTTCCCCAATTGGTTCTTGATCTGTCAGTAAAGAAAGCCATGGGCCAATTGCTGGATGGAAGGGACAGGTGGGACTTCTGGGTTCCTGGGGGAGGAGAGAGATGCAAGGGAGGAAGAGTTTTTTGCCATGCTTTGGTGGGAGAAGATCACAACAACTGTGTGAGATCTTGAATCAGAGTGGCCACAAAGGTTGCTCCTACAGACAATGGTTAGGGGAGTTTAGCAACTGAAGTTTAGGGCAGGTGGAGAGAGAGAAATAAGAAGTTGGTAAAGGTGTGCTTTTCCAGGTGGGAGATAGCAGTGCCCAGCAATTGTGCCAAGGAGGTAATTGGAAAAGGAACAAACTATGTGTCTTTTGTCTGAGAATTCAAGAGAAGCTGGATGCGGACTGGTAGCTCAGTCACCTCCCAGAGCAAAGGCGGGTAGAGCTTAAAACTACACTCTACACTTTCTACTTAGACTGTTTATTTTTTGTAGGTGTTGGGAAAAGAGTCTCACAGAAACCTTTTATGCTTTTGGAAACAAGGTTTCTCTGTGTAGCCCTGCCTGTCCTGAAACTCACTCTGTAGACCAGGCTGGCCTCAAGCTTAAAGATTCATCTACCTCTGCCTTCTGAATGCACTGCCACCACCCTGTCAAAGTTATAAACCTTAAGACTCAACTTAACAGAGGTAAAATTATAAAATCCTAATTTTATAAAAATTACTTGTCATTAAACTGTTAAAGATGAAACACAGAAATTAATGGTCAGTCCCCTTATAAATAATGAAATTCCTTAATGGACTAAAAACTATTTTTGGCCTGAGCAGTCCTAGAACACCTAGAGGAGGCTGGACTCTCAGGAGCTCTAACACACCCAGGAACATGGGATCATAGGATCACAGGATCTCAGGAGTTTGGTCACACCAGGATTTCAGGATCCCAGAAGCAGCCTGACTCCCAGGAGCTCTTACACCAAGGATCTTAGGCTCACACAATCATAGAGACAGCTGGGCTCTGAGGAGTTCTGACACAACCAAGATAACAGGACAGACAGGCTCCAGTCAGAGACAGTAAGTGGAGGTAGCACTAGAGATAACCAGATGGTGAAAGGCAAACGCAAGAACATAAGCAACAGAAACCAAGGTTACTTGGCATCATCAGAACCTAGTTCTCCCACAATAGCAAGTCCTGAATACCCCATGACACCAGAAAAGCAAGATTCAGATTTAAAATCACTTCTCATATTGATGATAGAGGACTTTAAAAAGGACATAAATAACTCCTTCAAAGAAATACAGGAGAACACAGGTAAACCGGTAGAAGCCCTTAAATAGGAAACACAAGAATCCCTTAAAGAATTACAAGAAAACACAACCCAACAGGTGAAGGAATTGAACAAAACCATCCAGAACATAGAAATGGAAGTAGAAACAATAAAGAAATCACAAAGGGAGACTACCCAGGAGATAGAAAACCTAGGAAAGAGATCAGGAGTCATGGATGCAAGCACCACCAACAGAATACAAGAGATAGAAGAGAGAATCTCAGGTGCAGAAGATATCATGGAAAACATTGACACAACTGTCAAAGAAAATGCAAAATGCAAAAAGCTCCTAGCCCAAAACATCCAAGGATCCCAGGACACAATGAGAAGACCAAACTTAAGGATAATGGGTATAGAAGAGAGTGAAGATTCCCAACTTAAAGGGCCAGCAAATATCTTCAAGAAAATTATAGAAGAAAACGTCCCTAACCTAAAAACTATTTTTTGTAGTCATACTAAGTACAAATATAACTCATTTACAGAGACAAGCTTAGAGGGAGACCCAATTTATACCTCTCACTAAGTAGTCTCCTGTATCTATTGTCTAAGTTAAGCCTGAGGCAACTCAAAACAAGTTTAAAGTAAACTTAAAGCTTATTTAATGTAAAATAATATTTAAAATCAGGTACTCTAAAAAAAAAAGACTGATTTTGAAAAATAAATACTTGTATAAAATGGGCTAAAAATACAATACAATCTACCTATGTGGCAGGATGTCCCCAAGCCTAAGTAGTCCTTTTGAATGAACACAATGCCACCAGAGTAAGCTGTATGCTAGTCTCATCTCAGGGTAAGGATGCTTGGGAAAATAAGACCTGCCCAAAGTCTGATGCTCCTGTCCTTTCTGTATAGGCCTGACCAGCCCTGGCTGTGTAGGCCAGACCAGCTCTGGGTGTGTAGGCCTGACTAACTCTGGCTCTGTAGGTCAAACCAAAAAAGAAACCTTCCTTATCTACAGGGAAGGCAAATTATTCCTCATGTCTCACATGACAGGATGATGGGTTCTTTTGCCCTGTGGAGGAGTCTACACCCATATCCCAGATGTCTCAAACAACAGAGAGGTTAAGAGCAGTTACTGTATCCTCAGCAGCTCCTGAACTGACATATAAGGATGCCGTGAACAGGGGCAGCTTGTACCTAAGCCTACCCTCAACTGGTAATGGCCAAACCCTTTACCTGCTTTCAATTCTTCCTTTTAGCAGAAGTTAATTCCAGGGTCCATATTCTAACGACCCATGTTCCATGATTATAGAAGATGACAAGGTACTCTGTCATAGTGCCCACAGTTTTGGGTGTCTTTTATTCAGACCCTCAAAGTGGTTGGTGTCTTTAAAAACTTTGCTAGACGTTTCTGCTGAAATGACTCAGTTCCCCATGACCCAACACTTTGCACAAGCTATTTCCTCTGCCTAGAGAAGTTCCCTCCCCTTAACTTATTTATTTTCTTCTGAGCCTCAGAAAATGTAATCTTGCTGCTGCATCTTCCTTGAGCCCTGTATTTAAAATTGTGGCCTTGATTTCTCCGTGTTCCAGCCTTTCTTTAACCATCTGCTAAAATACTGCATGACTTATTTTTTATTTTTTTAATTTAAAAAATAAATTTAATTGTTAATAAAAACAAAACTTAATTTTAAAATTTAAATATCCACCTTTTAATAAAGAAATGTAAACACTGCTAAAGTGGAAGTCTTTCCTCATTTGACAGCTTTGCCAGATGAATGAGTTAACTGCAATGAAATCAGGGAGGTTCTCATATGGGATTCAAATGAAAGGCGGACAGTAGAGCCATATGAGCATGTGAGGTTGGAACTGACACTGAAGGCCATAACGGTGATTCAGTACCCTTCTGGGGTCTGTTACACTGTCATTGGTAAAAAGGCAATCTCACTGAATGACAGTTGGCCACCCTCTTAGGTAGATCTTATGAACAGATATGACTTAGAGTATTCTAGTGTGTGTGTGTGTGTGTGTGTGTGTGTGTGTTTGCTTGTTTTTTTTTTGCCTTAGTTATCAAGAGGCTAATAATATTTCATTATGGAAAGAGATACTTTAATATTTGCCCTATGTAGACATTAAAAAATGGAAAGAAAAGTGAAAATTTCCAGGAGAAAATGTGTAGGTGAATTATTTCTAGTCTTTGATGTACTGTAGACACATGGCAGTGGCGACATGGCCTTTAGTTGTGGATGAAGAGCACATCAGCCATTTCTAAGACCACAGGCTTCGAGAACGCTCAAACTTGCCTCCACCCTCCAGCTTCTGGACTCAGACCCCTTGACTTAAATTCTCATTACCCTGTCCCTGGCTGACTTCCCTGACTTGTTGTCTTAGGTAGAGCTTGGCCTTGTGGATTGGTGGCTGCAGAGGAAAGAGCCCCAGGAGTCCTTATGATGATCCAGCTGGGGACCTCCAGTGTCTCAGAGGGACTTCTTATCTCATGACCGTGGCCTCTTCCTACATGAGATGTCCTCCAACTCTCTGCTCTCCACAGTGGTGGAAACTAAATTGTGTGGACCTCCAGTTTCCACAGAAGTTCAAAGGTTCACCAAGTACAGTTTAGAATATGTAATCTGAGCACTGAATAGCAGGGTGGACTTCAAGTTTCTGGTTACCAGACAAGGGAGGTGCTGCTACATGGAAACAGAAACCCCAGTGCAGGCCCTGGAACAAGGAACCACACTGGCTTAAGACTGGACAGTGGGCCTCACTGTCCTTGGAAATGAAGTCTATGGAGTTTCTTGTTAGTTGTCTGGGCCAATCACAGTGTTTTTCTGGGTCTTGCTATCCTCAGCTGCAAATGACAGAGACGCAAACTCATGCTCTTCCCTAAAAGCCATGTGGCCACTCTGTATAGTGTTCAAGGGCTTTACCTTTGGACTTGCGACTGAATTAAAATCCTGGTTCTGCAACGTAAAACACATTCAACATTGATCGGGCTACATTTCATTTCTCTCATGCTGATACTGGGATTTCACTCACAGGATTTTAATTAGGTGAAATAACACTTTTACAAACTGTGTGTGAGCGTGTCCGACAATAATTATTCATGATGGATGCTCATAGGTATGACCTTACACAAGGCTGCTTTCTTTCCTGTTTGTTAATTTCATGTGATAACAAAGGAATGGGTTTCAATATGAATTTTATAATTACATTGCTTTCTTCTCATTCACCCACAACTGTCTCTCATTCACCCACAACTGTCTCCCCTTCTACCCTCAACATTTGTCCCTTCTTCTTTCATGTCTCATGTATTCCTCTGCCCTTTCTTATTTATCTTGTTCCCCTTCCCTCTTCTAGTCTACTCCCTCTCTCCCTACACACACACATGCACGCACGTGCACACACACAAACACACAAATTCTACATGTGAAGAACATAGAATATTTATCGTAATTCTGTGTCTGACCTATCTCCCTCATCATCTCTACTTCCATCTGTTTTTCTGAAGATGTCATGGCTTCACTATTTATGGCCGAATGAAACTGCATATATGCACAATACCCATTTCCTTTACTATCGGTCTACTGATGAACGTGTAATCTGGTCCGTTATGGAGATAGTAAATAGTGTTGCGATAAACATGGATGGATAAGTGTTTCTGGAGTATGCTAATTTAGACTCCTTTGAGTACATTTCTAGAAAAAAAAAACCATAGCTGGGATCATATAGTAATTCTATATTAGGAACTAAGGAACTGTAATGGTCACAGAACTTAACACTTTTTCTGTATACCATGCTTCCCAGCTTTTTGCTTGCTATTTTAGTGATAACCATTCTGACAGAGGTAGTCTAGAATCTAATTGTAGTTTTGGTTTGCATTTTGATTGGGGTTACTTTCAAGGGATGGTATTTCATGTAAAGGTGGCATCCATGGAAGGTCAGCTGCAAGGCTCTTGTCACGTTTAACAGTGAGACTGGTAAAGATCAGAGTAGTGGAGTGACTTGCTGCTGTGTGTAACAGCCAGGACCTTGACATACACCAAGGGAGAAATGAGTCAGACATTCACCAAAGAGATAGAGTTGGATTCATCTAATCTGGAGAACAGACTTTTTAATCACAGCCACTTACAGAAGAAAATTCTCTGCACAGATGATACATCTGAGGACATCACTGGGGGCCTGCTTCCTAGGACCGATGCTGATGCTGCCTCATCTGTCTGCTCTTGCTGCGTTCCTTCCTAACTTTGCCTGCTAAGTCAGGAAGTTAAGTTAGATGTCGTTAGCACCTCCATGAGGACCAGACTCTACTTTTGTTTGGCCTCTCTGGGTTAGACCCCCTTCCCCCAAGGCCGCTGTAGTAGTCCACCTCAGCCTCTCTGAGGCGGCTCCCGAGGCTGAGCTGCAGTAGTACACCTCAGATTTTCAACACCAATCCTTTGTTGTTATTTTATAGCTACTGCTATTTTTTAAAAATGTCATTGAAATAATTTGCTTCACAAAAGTTCATATTTATTGCGTTTTAACTTTTTCTAAAGCAATGCACTTACTACAGTAAAGTTGAAAAGTATAGCAATGTAGAAATAAGAAAACAGTAATACGTCCCTCCATCCCTTCCCTCTTTCCCTTTTCTTTTGTAGAGGAAGGCATTGGACCCAGGCCTTGTGCATGCCAGGCAAGCACTCTGACACTTAGCTCTTGGCCTTTTTAAATTTTTCCATGAATATGAACATACATCACCCTTTCCTATTCATAGAGACTTTATCATCAACCATTATCCTATCCATACTTTGCACATATAATATACTTTCTTTAAATATTTTAAAGAACACTTTAATGCTAATAAAGTGATTTGAAAACAATTTTTAATGACTCCATGATAGTCAGTCCATTGTATGAATAAATCAAGTGTATTTATTTTAATCTCCCGCTGTGTTTCTAATATTTTACTTTTATAAATAAGCAGTATCTGATAACTTTTTGCATATAAACCTTTGTCCAGATCTCTATTTCCTTGACAGTAGACTTCACTTGCAAGAGGGTGACAGTTGCCAGAGGATGCTTTAGGGATTTGTCTGGGTTTGGGATGACTGCTTTCTGCATGGACCTCAGCCAGCCAGTAGGTGTCACATTTGCCTCATGTTTCTTCTTGGAGCTTTCTTGTAGCTTTTTACCATATAGTCTCAGGATCATCTTTGAAAGGCTGTGAGACAATACGTTGTTAGTGAGTCAATAGGGTTCAAATATGAATGTTGACATCTCTCCCAAGGCTCACAACCCTGAGTGACCCAGGGAATGGCTATTTTTCTTTCCTATCTGTTGCTGATTTTATCTAACCCAGCAGCATATGTGCTTGCTGCTGACCTGCTATTGAGAGAAATAGTCAGTCAGAGCAGCCAGCAAGACTCTAGGAAATGTGTACACATACATCTCACACACAGGCACACACACATGGACACATAAATGTACACACGCACATGCACACACAAACACATGCACACATACACACATGCATGCACACAGTCACACACAGACACACAAACACAAACACACACACACACACATGCACCCACATGCATGGAAAGGGGGAGCTCTTGCTTAAATGAGTGTGTTTTTGAAGCATCCTATAATTAAAAATTCATTATAGCCTTATAGAGACATTTATTTTAGACAGCCTCCTTTCTAAATAAGGAAATGGAGTCTTAGAGCGGTTAACTTGTTAACATGGTACAACTACTGAGATGGTTCGTCATTGTTGTTGATGTGGTTAGACTTAGAGTCACTGGGGAGACTGAGTGTCTGAAAGGATGGCTTAATGGAGAGCGAATGATGGACTTGGGTGTGGGTGACATCGTTCCATGGTCCAAAGACCCAGTAGGAGTAGAAGAGAAGAGAGAAAGCAAGCTAAGCTACTGCTGTTTTTTCTGGCCTGCTAAGATGTGTCTACTCAGTTTTTGCCAAGCCTTCCCTGCCATGGAGAACCAACACCTCTGAAACCTAGAGTCCAGTACATTTTTTCTCCCTTAAGGTGTTTCTTTCTAGTGTTTTGTCATAATGATGAGTAAGTTGACAATTGCACACTACACTAAAGCAGAATTCAGTCAGATCCAGGCATGCTTACCTTTTTTTTTTTTAAGATTTATTTATTTTATATTTATGAGCGATCTATCTGTATGTACACCTGCATACTAGAAGAGGGCATCAGATCATATTATAGATGGCTGTGAGGCACAATTCCCATGTGGTTGCTGGGAACTGAACTCAGGACCTCTGGAAGAGTAGACACTGACCTTAACTGCTGAGCCATCTCTCCAGTCCCAGGTACACTTATCTTTAAAATCTATGACTTTAATAATTTTCCCATGTTTGTTAAAAAAAATTAGATCTACAATACCAAAGCTCTTTATTAACCACCTGGGTATGGGATCCTACGAATTGTGTTTATAAGACCTTCCTTATAATTATAAGACAATTACACACTAAAGGGTGTTGGTAAAAGTGTGGAGAAATTAAAATGCTGTGTGTTTTGGAAAACAGTTTGATAGTTTCTCTTAAACTTCCAAATTATCCAGCAGTTTTATTTCTAGGTATATCTAAGAAAACTGAAAACATGTATGTATAGAAAAACTCAGAACAAACGTTCAAGTTGCTAAATGGACAAAATGTAAAAATAAAATGTAAAATGTAAAAATAATCCAATGCCCATCAACCAGTGAGTATTTTATATCCATACAGTGGGATATTGTTCAACAATATGAAAAGGAAACGAAAAGGAAAATGAAAAGGAAAAGAGCCACTGATACACACTACATACTACTATGTACACAGTACATACTGCATGCACTCTACAACTGTGTGCTTAGTACAGAGGCCAGGCATTAAAGACTACATATTTTATCATCTCGTGTGAATTATATGTCAAAAGATGGAATATCTCTAGAGATAGAAAAACTGTTCTGTAAGAGATGACTGTAAATAATGACTGCCAGCAAATAGGCAAAAGAGAACTCTTTTGTGGTGACAGAACTCTAAAACAGGAGTTGGGCTTCTGGTGACTCATCTCCACCAGCCAGGCCCTACCGCCTACCTTCACAGCCTTCAAAACATGAGCCTGTGGGACTTCTCAGAGTTAAACCACAACATTCCATCTCAGGGCCCCAGACCTCATGACTACCACATAATGGAAAATACATCCAGTCTAACTTTAAAAGTGTTAACAGTCTCAACATTGTTCAAAAAAGTCCAAAGTCTCTTCTGAGACTCAAGGCAACGTCTTAGCTACGAGCCCCTATAAAATCAAGAAGAAAGTTATGTGCTCCAAACCTACAATAGCTCAAAGTAAACACTCCCATTCTAACGGCAGGAATGGGGGACCAGCAAGGAAAGGTCAGACCACACGGGTTGCACAAACGAATAGATAATACTAAGAAATCATAAACTGAACAACTGCATTGGGTGGACTTCTGCTATGTATGTAAATAGGCTATTTATAAATAATTAAAAGGAAGATATTATCTAGGCTTATAATAACATTGTCTCCCTGTTACTTAGTTGAATATTATTCCTTTCTGTCAGTTCCAAGAGACCAATTTTGGCTCAGGATATAACACTTATATTGTTAATATCTCACAGTGTCACGTCCATTCTGTGACCCAGTCTTTGGAGGAAGAAACTGAGTCACAGAGCTTAAGTAACATGATCAGTCTCAGAGACTGTCTGTAAGTAGTATAAGTCAATTTCAGATCTGACTAGCCCTAAAGCACAGAGCCAGGCGTAGCTGCTAGGCTAAAGAATGAACCAGGTATCAGCTATTTTTTGGCAAAAGAAAGGAGAGTGGTTGCCTAGCAACAAAGCTTACAGTTTCAAAACACATTGTCTGGTCTCAGTACGGCCAGTCCCAGGGTTTGAAGATTTTTGTTGCTGTCATAAGACAAGTGATTTGAACACTCAAACCATACAGGTCAACCTACTCTCTAGCTATGGCTTCCAGTTGGACCAATCGGTCCCAGAGCAAATGAAATGGGAGTCTACAGTTGGTATGCCCACATTATTCACACGAGATGGTGAAATATGTAGTCTTTAATGCCTGGCCTCTGTACTAAGCACACAGTTGTAGAATGCATGCAGTATGTACTGTGTACATAGTAGTGTGTAGTGTGTATCAGTGGCTCTTTCCTTTTCACTGTTGAACAACATCCCACTGTATGGATATAAAATACTCACTGGTTGATGGGCATTGGATTATTTTTACATTTTGTCCATTTAGCAACTTGAACGTTTGTTCTGAGTTTTTCTATACATACATGTTTTCAGTTTTCTTAGATATACCTAGAAATAAAACTGCTGGATAAGTTTAAGAGAAACTATCAAACTGTTTTCCAAAACACACAGCATTTTAATTTCTCCTAACTTTTACCGACACTCTTTACTACCTATCATTTTAATGACAGCTGTCCTAATAGATCAGAAATAGTATTTCCTTGTGAGATTGGCATCATCATGTGATTATCATGTGTAAAACTGCCTGTTATATTTGCCTGCTTTTACACACACACACACACACACACACACACACACACACACACACACACACACAAATCTTACTATGTAGTTTGAGATTGTTCTCAAACTCTTCATGTATACTCAGGCTGGCCTCAAACTTATAGAGATCCTCCTGCTTCTGCCTCCCGAGTGCTGGGATTAAAGGTGTGCACCACCATGCCCTATTTGCCCTTATTTTAATTGGGCTATGTGTTTTTTGTTGTTGTTCAGTAATGTGTCCTTACTCTGAATATATTTTCTGAAGTTGATGAGTTGCAAATGCCCCTCTGCCCCCATCTTTGAGGGATTGTCCCCCAATTACAATGAATTGTTTTTGTGCACTGTATGTGTCATGTGAACGGGGGCCAGAGGTTGATGTGCATGCTTTTCTTTTTCAGTTTCAACATAGGTTTTGAGGTAGGATATGTCATGGAACCTGGAACTTGTGGTTTGGATAGACTATCTGGTCACCAAGCCCTAGGGTTCCTCCTGACTCTGCTTCTCAGGTGCTGGGAATATGGGCTTTTGTTACTGAGCCGCAGCTCTTTTGATGTAGGTGATGGAACTCAAACTCGGTTTTAACGCTTGCATGCTATACCAACATTGGTTCACTTTACCAACAGAGTCACCTTCCCAGCCTCCTTTCACCTATTGACAATACTTGAAATAGAAAGGTTTTGGAATTTGAATTAAGGCTAACACCTATTTTTCTTGTTTATGACTTTAATGCCTGTGGTGTTTTAAATGAGGAATGACTTCTGGAGGCTCCTGTATTTGCATGCTTGGTGCCCACCTAGTAGCATTGTTTAGAGAGGTTTAGGAGGTGAAGCCTTGCAGGAGGAAGCAGGTCACTGAGGATAGGCTTTGAGAGCTTAAGGCCTTGTTCTATTTCCGGTTTTCTTTATCTGCTTTATGACTTCATTCAAGATGGAAACTCTCTGCTTCCTGTTCCTGCTGTCATACATGCTGCTATAATATGCTCTTCTTCTTCTGGAACCAAAAACCCAAATAAACTCCTCCTCCTCCTTCTTTTTAAAGAAGATTTATTTAATGTATGTGAGTACACCGTCATTGTCTTAAGAAACACCAGAAGAGGGCATTGGATCCCATTACAGATGGCTGTGAGCCACCATGTGGTTGCTGGGAATTGAACTCAGGACCTCTGGAAGAGCAGTCAGTGCTCTTAACCACTGAGCCATATCTCCAGCCCCTAAAATCCTTCTTATATAAGTTGCCTTGGGCATGATACCTTATCAAAACAACAAAAAGTAACTCATACACTGCCCTAAGAGTCTATTGTCAAATTCAGTTGATGTTGTAAACATTACTCCTATATTTTATTTTGAGTGTTTTATTATTTTAATTCGTATGGTTATACAAATCAAATCTACAATAGCACAGAGCAGACATTCCTATCCCAGCCCCGTTCTTACAGTTATGTTGTTTGCAGGATACATGGCCTCTTTCTTGGGCCAGATTCACTTAGGAAGCAGCATTCTTCAGCAGATATTCCATGTTTCTGGCATCTCCCACATCCTGGGTGTCCACTTCAACCTAGGATTCACTTCCATAGCTCATTTCAGGTCTTCATACACACTCACAGGAATATGTAAGGAACACTTCAAACTGTTGGTAGTTCCTTAGCACCTTCTACATATAAAGTATAGTTTTACTCCCCCCTCCCGACCCACAGTGGCAGGAAAAGGAGGGCCTCCCTTTGAGTTGTTGCTTGAGAGAGTCTAAGAGACCCCACAGAGTAATACAGGCTATTGCTATTGCCCTTGGCTGCCTCTTAGAACTTGAAGGTTTTACCCCATTGCTTAAGACACTTCATGCTTTGGATACAGGACCTGAAGGAATCTGGCTATATCTGATCCAGAAGCCTTCTCCTGAGGAATA